AAGGCAAAGCTTTCGCTCTGCAATTCGAAATAAAGCGAAACATGTATCGAAATAGAAATATAGAAATATCAAAGCTTCAATTTGAGTTGCGGAACGACGCTCCGGAGGATCATTTACTACATCTAGCAGGCAGGGCCATTCCGACGAGTTTTGTAAGAGAAATAGAGGTCCATTAGCCCAATGACTCAATGACCCCCAGCGACTCCACGCCACGATGGAGCCAGACCAGCAATGAAAGACGCAATCGAGATCTTTGCGTCGCTCCCGCTGATGCAACATGATTTGCAACTTGTCGTTCGCATCGTCCTGCATGTAATAAGTTTGGTCATCCGTCTCGCAATCGCTACGGGCCCTCATCGCTGCCATGTTCCTATTGAGGGTTCCGCTGGTGGGTGGAGTAGACACGCGGCATGACCTTGCTGTCGGCTAGTGGCTCCTGCAAGTCCAGTTTTCCGGGGGCGGTGTTGCGAGAGTCATCAATAAGCTTGGAGTCATAAATGGACCATGCTAAAACGATTTTGTCCAGATATGTAGAATTGGCATCTGTGGCACCAGCAAATGGTAATTTGCGTTGGGCCGCTAAGCGTCGATTAAGCTTAGCCTCCACATCCATTACGACTTCTGAAAATTCCAACATTGTGTTCAGCTCCAGTTCTGCTAAGTCAAGCCTTTCCAATTTACTTTACAATTTTTTCCAGCTATGTTCGAAGAACGAGGTCGAACAAATGACTACCATTATTGCGCAAACAAAATTGCGCTCTTTTTTGGCATTTTGCATGACATTTGCCAGCGTCTCGGGCGATATCGCAGCGATTTCGGCTCGGATGTTGTTCTTCAGCTCGTCCAAAGTCTTCGGTTCGTTCGCGTACACTTAGCTTTTCAAAAAGCCCCTCAAGAAAAAGTCGGGTGCAGTCAAATCGGGCGATCTTGGTGGCCAGTCGATATCCCCTTCTTTCGATACGCTGTGCTGCAACAACTGCACGATTACATTTAATGTACATTGTAACTATTTCCGCGCGTTCTTTGGGCGTAAAGCGATTCATGGCTAAGATTGTATTGGAATAACCTTTACAGAAGCGTTTTGTTTCTGTCCGCCATCGGTTAAAATCTGTCAAAATTATGCTCCGGTTTTCACTTTATTTTTCGCTTTCGTTTTTGGGCGAAAACGTACGTTTTAGTATTTTTTAATATAACTTTTTTATATAACTAATTTTTATGCTCAACTTGCGGATGACATGTTGTAATTTTGAGTTATGACACCTTTTTGGCCAGGTTAAGGCAGTGGTCTGCTTTACAGACTTCAAAAAAACGATGATTTTTTTTGTCTTAAATCTATTCCAAAACTATCCAAAAATATGTGTTCAAAATTTTAGAGGCCAATTCGACATATTTTCGAAGCTAGATTAGTTTTAGTGGCCGAGCGTCGAGCAGTTGCTTATGCTCGGGCAGACTTTACAGCCCGTTTTCTCGAGTTTTTATTTTCACAAGTTGTGGAAAACGGTGCCGGCCATAGTAAAAAAAATATATGTCCGATCGAAAAAAACCAAAGTGATCTAGCTTCAGTATTGAATTATCTTCTATTTGAACTAAAAAAAATTGATAAAAGTACTATTTAAATTACTTGTTTTGCAACTTAGGGGCCGTCCATAAACCTCGTGACGCTCCTAGGGGGGTGGGGGGGTTCATCAGAGAGTCACGCTTTGTTGTAAGGAGGTTGTAATTTGTATATGTGATGCGTCACATAGGGGGGAGGGGGTCAAAAAAGCCAAAATTTAGCGTCACGAGGTTTATGGACGGCCCCTTAAAGTGAACTTTTTTTTTTCCAAAAAAGTAAAAATTCACTTTTTCAAACTTAGAAAAAATTTGGAATTTCGTCATTTCTTCGGAATTTTTTTAGTTCATATAGAAAAGGAACTTATAAAAACTAAAAAAAAAATTGGTTCCACTGTTTCATATGCATCGCACGAACTCCATCACCGGCACCGATTTACAAGTGCACACTCCAGGCGCCCCAGAAAAATCGTTACAAATTCCGCTAATTTTAATTATTTGTAATAATAAAAATTGTTTTTTAAAGTTTAAATATAATATTATATCGTCTCAAAATTTCGTTTACCGCAATCATTTCCTTCCCTTTCAAAAAAAGTGTTGAAAAAACTCTCTTTTTTCGGCTCCTAAAGCAGACCACTGCCTTAAGGGGGGTAAGGTTTTAAAGGCCAAAAAAAAGGGCCATGTTTGATTTTTTTTTGCGGCGAAATGAGTAAGTTTATTTTATTGAGCTTAATTACATGGTATTGTTTAACTTTTGAAGAGTATTAGAAAAAAAAAATTATTAAAAAATATTAAGAAATACGCCTGTGGCGGTTAATCTTCCGAAGCGCCTAAAGAAAAAGTTGTTTTGCGGTGAACATCATAACGGATCATCTTAAAAATAAAATGTGATATGTGTTGTAAAGATAATGAATTTCCCGAGGTAATCAGGAAGAGTTTTTTTTTAATTTATTTTTTGTCTATTTTTGGGAGCACTTGAAAGTGAAAAGTGCGATTTTAGCTTAAAAAATCGCTGTTAATTTATTTTTTAAAAATAGAAAAAAATTAAAAATTAAAAAAAACTCTTCCTGATTACCTGCATATTTATGTTGAGAATTTGTGTTAAAAATTTGAAAAGGATCGGTTCAGTAGATATTGAGTTCTGATGTTCACCGACTTTCAAAATAACGTCTTCGGCAAAATCGATTCAAAGTATTTTTATACGTGAGAATACGGCCAAATTCGGTCGTTTAAAACGCTGTAACTCCGTTAGTTTGACTCTAATTAACTCAAAATTTTTACACAACGTTCTCAACATATTGCTCTCTTAGAAAAAAAATATAAAAAAAAAATCGAAAAAAAAAATTGTTAAAACCTTACCCCCCCCTTAAGGCAGGTTCTCACCTTGTATGGCCGAAAAATTGACATTTTTAAAAAAAATTGTTTTGAGAAATCGGTTAAAGATAAAATTCTGAAATTTGTAACTTTATTTGAAAACATATTTATTTTGCGAAAAAATTTCAAAATTGAAAAATCGAAAAGGGGCGGGAGGGGGCGTTCCTCAGTTGCAAAATTCATTCAGCCAAAACGAGTAATCGGAAACACAAAAACCGAAAGGATTCTTAAAGTGTACATACTGTGCATAAAATGAACTAGTATCAGAAAAAAAAAATGAAAATTGCAAAAATTATTAGATTTTGAAAAAAATTTTCGATTTTCGCGCTTTTTTTTCACTAGTTATTTTCTCAATTAAACAGTTTTCAATATTTTTTAAAAATCTTAGTTCATTAGTTAAAGGAAACTATTAGGAGCATTTAAAAAAAATTTGATGACGATTGGTTAACACCAACGCCTTCAATTACTTCCGTAAGGTCCGAAAACGTGGTTCCGAGATAAACGCGCTTAAAGTTTTGGCTTCCAATGGCTGGTGATCGACATGTGCTCCATATAAACGCCTGTAACTTTTGTAATATTTCAAATTTGGATCTGAAACTTTTTGAGAACATTTTCGGAACTATAGGCCAAAAGAAAAAAATCCATTTTTTTTTCTGCCACAAGGTGAGAACCTGCCTTAAGAAAACTTTTCCGAACAATTTTCCTTCACATATCAACGAAACGTAGAAAAAAGTAATGCCGAAATGAGTAGTCACGTGGAAAGTTTCTTGTTTCGTGCCATTCGATTTTTATCAATGATTTGGGCATGAGACGGGTCGCCGCGAAATTCGTGCCAAAATTGCTCACTTGCGACCAAAAACAGCATCGCATAAACATTGCTAATGAGATGTTAAACTCTATCCGCGACGACCCAAATTTGCTCCAGAGGGTCATAACTGGTGACGAATCGTGGGTTTATGGTAACGACGTGGAAACCAAAGCTCAATCATCTCAATGGAAGCTGCCGCACGAACCAAGACCGAAAAAAGCGAGCCAAGTTCGGTCGAATGTGAAAGTTTTGCTGACAGTTTTTTTCGATTGCTGGGGCGTGGTGCATCATGAGTTCTTGCCACAGGGAAGAATGGTCAATAAGGAATATTACCTGCAAGTAATGCGCAATTTGCGCGAAGCAATCCGCCAGAAACGCCCGGATTTGTGGAAAAACAAAATTTGGCTTTTGCACCACGATAACGCCCCTGCTCTCACATCGTTGCTTGTGCGCGACTTTTTGGCCAACAACAACACACTAATGATGCCGCAGCCACCGTATTCCCCAGATCTAGCCCCCTGTGACCTTTTCTTGTTTCCTAAACTGAAGAGGCCCGTGAAAGGACGACGTTACGCTTCGCTTAAAGAGATAAAGGCGGCATCGAAGGAGGAGCTCAACAAAAAAAAAGTGATTTTTTGAAGTGCTTCGCAGATTGGAAAAACCGTTGGCACAAATGCATAATAACTCATGGGGATTACTTTGAAGGGGACAAAATAGATATTCATGAATAAATAAATAATTTTTGAAAAAACACAAAATTCGCGATACTTTTTGAACACACCTCGTATAATATAGTTGTACGATTTAAGAAACTCGATGTTCTAAAAATCATAATAAAAAACGACGTTATACTTTTTTTTTATATATACATATATATATTTTTCGATCTTGCCTATGTTAGCTATATGATAGAGTTAACCGATTTTGATAAAATTCAAAGTAGTATGTAAAAAACACCAACTGGAAGAAAAAACACTCGACAAGGGTATAAAAATAGGTTGTAGCTCTATTGCAATTCGGGGTTTTACACTGAACCAGGGAATGGCAAATTGACTTAATAGCTTGGAGATGTTACTGTTTATTTGAAAACTATAAATTTAAAAAAATGTGTTATTAAAATACGCTCACACTTATTAGCTGGATATCTAATGACCTTTTAAAATAACTAACATTTAATTAAATGTAAAAATGAAAAAATTAATTGCTGAAAATAAGCTGCAGAGGTTTCTATTTTGACTGTAAATAATCTTTGGTCCTATACTTACAGCGATTGTTGCTACAGATGGCAACTCGATGGGAGCATCTGGAGACAATGATAGTAAGGATTCTCATGCAAACGCCGAAAAAGATTGGTTAAACGAGGAAGTTGACACACCACATTATCATCAGGGTGATGATTATGAGGATGATTTTGATTCTGATAATGATTTTGACGAATCTTACACTAGCCGTGGTAAACGCAAAAAGGGTTCGCGAACACGACGGACAAATGCTAATGTAGAAGGCACTCCCAAACGAGGTCGTAAAGGAGGTGGTAAGTTAAATGCAATAAGCTTATAAAAGGTTAACTTACCTTCGTTTCAGGCAACCGTCGGAGAAACGCTGTTGACGGAGAATCAGACCGAAGACGTCGGGGCGGTGGAAATGGGGCAAATACATCTGCAGCTGCAGCGGCAGCTGCTGCAGCCGTTGCACACGCAGCCAGTACTGCGGCAGCTGCATCCGCTACAGGTCTCTATGCTTCTCACTCAAACTCTGCTTCTCCTATTCCAACACACGACGATAACTCCCAGTCAACACTGATAACGCCAGCAAACATAGCTTTGCCATACGAAAAGGCGTTAAGCGACGCTGGGGCTTCTAATGATTCGATTCCTTTGTCGACAATGGCTGGAGTAAGCATGGGCACGATTGCTACTTCTATTGTTTCTAATGCCTTGCCTGTGCATGGAGTAACAAATCCTTCGATTTTTGCTACGGGGCCTAGTCCTATGAGGGTCAAACAACGCATTGAACGCGACATTGCTCAGCCGTCTCCTTACTGTGACTTTTGTTTGGGTGATCAGCGGGAAAACAAAAAAACCAATATGCCCGAGGAGCTTGTATCTTGCTCGGACTGCGGTCGCTCTGGCCATCCATCATGTTTGCAGTTCACAGCAAACATGATAGTATCCGTTAAACGTTATCGTTGGCAATGCATCGAATGCAAGTATTGTTCCATCTGTGGGACCTCGGACAATGACGACCAACTGTTATTTTGCGATGATTGTGACCGTGGATACCATATGTACTGCCTATCGCCACCGTTAACTACTCCACCAGAAGGGTCTTGGAGCTGCAAATTATGCGTGGAAGAGTTTCACAAGAATTAATAAGCTTATACTTATGTTCTTTCATTAATAATGCAAATTTAGTTTATTCATTTACATTACAAACTATAAAAAATCACTTTGTTTTTTTTTTAAGGAAATTGTAATCAAGTATTTTATTGCTTATAATGCAACTAGGCTTAAGTAGAGCCTCAAAGTACTTTTGTTGCAACTTGATAAGCCTTAAATAATATAATATAGTTTTTCATAAATATTTTAACTACAGATAGTTTTTATAATTTTGTATACAAAAAGATTTGTCATTATAATACAAATTATATAAGTAGTTGGCAATCACCTATAGTTTAACGATTTTGGGCCAAGGTACATTTCACAAAGGATTGCAAAGGTTCTGAAGATTTATGGATAATTATCTACAGTGAGACTTTGGGTGATGATCCCAATCCCCAATCATCCCATTTTCTAAATCATTGGTTAAGACCTCAATTTAAATGGAAGCATCGCTATCTTGCCAAGCTAATGAAAATGCACTTAAGAAAAAAAGTATCTTTTAAGAAAACACGTCAAACGTTGACTTGGGTATAATCGATCATGTTCAATCAACCTCGGTTTAACCAATCACAACTCAACACAGCGCTTCGCTACAAAATTGTTCGATCGAGTTTCGTGCACAAAACGAAGGAGTTCGAACCATTCGCTTAATTGCTCTGCTTACTGATTCAAACTAATTTTTTGGTTTCGGTATGATGATCGAAAATGATTGTACAGAAAAAGACGATCAAGTCCAACGATGCACGAACCGCTCAGACATCGATCAAGTTGTGTTTGAATTGATTGTAATTGAAGCAATCAGATCGAGAATATGTGCAGAGTTTTTATGTACATATATGTATGTTTTATAAGTCACAAGTTGCAATGCATTAAAATAACCAAAATACAAAACCAAATTTATTTTTCATTATTAACGCTTAAAATTAAAATAGAATTAATACTTAAATTTTTTTTTTTCCCTTTATAACTCCTTCTGGGAGCATAGGGCCTCGACTAGATTCCTCCATCTTACTCTATTTCGGGCTGCCTGTTTTGCTGTGTCCCATGTGATGTTGTATTGGGACAACTCTTGAAGGGCGGTTCGTCTCCATGTTGCTTTAGGCCTGCCTACACGCCTGCTTCCCTGTGGGTTCCACTCTAGCGCATTCTAACTATGCTATCCTGGTCCTTTCGCAGTGCGTGGCCTATCCATCTCCATTTTTTCTTCCCGATTTGGAGTCTTATTGCTGTTTCACCCGTCATATTCCAGAGGTCTATGTTGGAGATTCTGTTTGGCCAGAAAATCCCGCATATTATTCTGAGACACTTGTTGGTGAAAGCCTGCAATTGCTGGATTATTGTTTTTGTCGTGAGCCACGTCTCGCTTCCGTATAGTAGGACGGATTTTACGCATGAGTTGAAGATCCGTATCTTTGTTTTTCTTCTTATTTGGCGGCTTTTCCATATGTGGTAGAGTCTCCCGAAGGCAGACCTGGCTTTGGCTAGTCTGCTCGTCACATCTCTGTCACGCCACCGTTGCTGGAGATTACGGTGCCAAGGTATGGGAAACTCTCGACGTATTCTATGGGGTTTCCATCTACGATGATATATCCTTGGCTGGCGTGATTGAGGCGCATCGCTTTTGTCTTCGCCGTGTTAATTTGTAGACCCACACGGCTGGCTAGGTTCACGAGGTCATCAACTTTGGATTGAGTATCGCTTAGTTTGTGAGAGATTAGGCAAATGTCGTCTGCGTAGTCCAAGTCTTCTAGGTGTCTGGTGAAGCTCCATGTTATTCCACGCTTGTCTTTGCACACTTCTCTCATGACCTCGTCCACCACAATGTTGAAGAGCCGTGGGGATAGTGGGCATCCTTGCTTGACCCCGGTGTTTGTTTGGAAAGGTGCACTTGTCTTCCCGTTGTGCAGTACCGCCAGGTTGGCGTCATCGTATAGCGCCTTTATTAGGGCGATGACTTTGTGTGGTACTCCTTTCCTAGCAAGCGCTCCCCATATTGCTGCTCTATTTATTGAATCGAACGCCTTCTTGAAATCGATGAACAGGAGGTACAGTGGTGCTCTCCATTCCACAGCTTGTTCGGTTATGATGCGTAGGGTGTTGGCTTGGTCTACGCAGCTCCTGTGTGGTCTGAAGCCTACCTGTTCTTCTCTTAGTGTAGGCTCGAATTTTTCCATCAGGCGTTCATTCAGAATTGTGGCTAGGACTTTGTAACTGGTGTTCAGTAGTGTGATCCCTCTCCAGTTGTTGCAATCACTAAGGTCTCCTTTCTTGGGTATTTTCACTATGACTCCGCATTTCCAGGAGTCGGGAATGTGTTCGCTCTCCCATGCACTCGAGAAGTGCGGATGCAATATTTCTGCCATCAGTTGAGTGTCAACTTGGAGGATTTCGGCTGGAATGCCGTCCATCCCGGCAGCTTTGTTGTTCTTTAGCTTCTTTATTGCATTTCCGATTTCTCTCACGGAGGGTGGGGCGGATGATATTCTCCGGTTCCCATTTGCTGGCGCAACGTTTCTGTTGTCATCACTCCTGCTAGGCATGTCGGAGTTGCTGATTTCCATGAAGTGTTGGCGCCATCTGTGGATTTGGTCGTCGTCGCTAGTGAGAAGTTTTCCATTGGCATCTTTGACTGGCTGGTTCTTCCTTCTATAGCCTCCTGAGATTTGTTCAATTGTCTGGTATAGTGATCGCATGTTGTTTTCGTTTGCTGCGCGTTCTGCATTATCTGCCAGTCTATCCATTAGGGTTCTCTTATCATTTCTGGCTGCTCTCTTGACAGCTTTGCATAGTGCGCGGTGATCGTCGCGTCTATTGCTGTCATGATCAGCCAGTAATTTCAGTGAGTTCCTTTTGTTGATCGTGTCCCACGTTGCGCTAGAGATCCAGTTGTTTCTTCTTCGTTGTTGGGTGCCAATGATGCCTTCTGCGGTGGTCCTTAGTGTATCGCAATTATTCAACAAAATTAATGCTTAACATATTGAAGCACACAAAATTCACTAAGATAAAAAAACTTCAAATTAAAAAAACAATTCAATCCTAATCGCTTCAAAAACAATAGATTGGCTGAACCGTTGGTTACTACCCCGCATTGCGCGGGGTCGATCAAACAAAATCATTCGGAACCAAGCAAGAGTGATTGAAACTGAATGTTCGCTTCGAGCACGATGGCATACAATCATACATTTTTGTTGAAACAGTGTTTTGAATCACAAAAAATCCGAGTCAATGATGGGGTATGAATGAAAAAATTATGATCGTTGCCAACGCTTCTTGGAGAATGTGTGTGCTATTCAGACTTAGCGGGACACAGTCGTCTATTAAGGGTGCATGTTATATGTTTGCATTTTTGTTCATTATTATTATTTTTATTATATTTATTAACTATATTATTTAATTATACAAACAGTAGTACAAGTATACTGATTTTGTGTTTCGTTCGAGGGTAAAAGACTTAGCTTGCTCAAACCGAGAATTCCGCTTTTTATAAACTGAGCAGCTTCTGTTTGCGAACCTTTTTTTTTTTAAATAATTTTCGGGTTATTAAACGACACGGATGTTGAATTCTTCACAAGCTAGGCAGACTGATAGAAGGGTGCTGTTTTGTCCGGCATGCCCAGTCCGCTAGCAGTTTATGCATTGCGCGGGGTCGATAGGCTTGGACGGATCAGTTTGTAGGTTGGGTGCATCACGTTTTTCTTTAGAACTGGCAAGGGCGTCGCCAAGGAGGTGCAGGGAGGGGCAGCTGCTCCCCTCCCCCTAGAGCTATCAAACTCCTTTTTTTTCTAATAAATGTTATAACTCATTTACAAGTTTTTAAGGCTACATTTCATTTTGAAAGAAATTAGGGATCCTTGGTAAAATTTGAAAAATATAACCGTACTTTTTTAATGAACGAGAAAGGTATGAATAGTAAAGTTAACTTGCCCCCCCCTGCGCCATCGGCTGGCGACCCCCTTAAGAACTGGGCTACATGGCCCAATAACAATAAAGAAAGTTTGCCGGTTTTTATTTTTGTTTATTTATTAAATTTGTTTGCAGAAGAACGCTAAGCTCAAAAGGTTCAAAACTGGTGAGTAATCATGGGTATATAATACCGAAACCAAACCGAAATAAGAACACTTACAGGGTTGAGTTTTTGTAGGAAACTGATTTTATTCTTTCTTGAGTTCGGTTTATAAATATTTGTATGAGTCTATGGCCTACGCAGAGGCCGCGTTTGCTATCAAAGCGGGCACAGCAACCTTTTGGTGTGTACAAATCTTACAAGTGATAAGTATATTTTTAGGCTAAAATAGCCTGTACATAAAAATATGAGTGTCAGCAGCACTCACTTATTGATAGTTGTTTATGGCTCAAGCCTGATGCACACGCGCATAGATCTCAATAGTGTTCGTCTGAACATCCGCTGTTTGCGAGAAGCAATTAAATTATGGAAAAACGATTCATGGCTTTTGCATCATTCAGCCACCATCCTCACCGAATTTGGCTGAAATGCCAAATGTGACTTTTTCTTGTTCCCAAAAATAAAGACACCTATCAAAGGACGGAGATTTGCAACGATTAAAGAGAGAAAGACTATGGTGTCATGTTCAAAGGAAGTAATGGGTCAGCATTGGAGTCTGGAAACCGTGTTGCTGTGCACTGAGGATGAACGGGACCAGGAGGCCTATATAAGAGGGGTCCTCTCTTCAGATCGGATAAGTCAGCAAGAAGCAAACACTAGAATAGATCGATCAGCAATAAGTAAAGAATGAGTAAAAAAATGAACAAAAAACAAATGACAAGTGAAGAAATAACAAGTCTGCGAGCAGCAACGAAACCGGATCATCGCAGCGCGAACTACAAAGAGCAACGTGTGTGAGGACACAAGGGTTCACGAGCAGCAGAATCTACAATGAGCAAGATAGCGCTAACATGGCGATTTGTGGAGACGTGGGTTAGTGGCGATGAGCCTGGTGTACTTAGTTGAGGCACCGTGATCTCGGAGGGAAAGGACGCACACAGTATCGCGACCCGGCGTATGCTTGGTCCGTCAAAAGGCGTATACGTCGAGAACCCAACGGTGTC